TGGGCCGCGGGCGGGGGGCAGCCGCCGCCATCCTCAGCTTGGGCAACGTGCTCAACTACCTGGACAGGTACACCGTAGCAGGTGAGCTAGTGCCCCACCCAGCCCGAGAACCAGGATCCCTTGCCTAGAGGTACCCCTGTGAGCCTTTGGTCCCAAACCTTCAATATCCAAGCCTTACGTGGGGACCTTAAGTGCCCTCGGCTCAGGCACAACTGGGCAAGTGATGCCCTGTGATCCACGGGTCCAATCCAAGGACTGCCCCCCACTCAGGGCCAGAGGTTGAGACAGTCCCCACCCCTGGAGTAGTCCGCGCGTCCTCGCCAGCCCTTGACGTCCCATCCGTTGTCCTCTTTTCCGAGAGTCTCCTTGCGTCTCTCTGCGTTTTTGCCTCTGCGCCCCCTTCCGCCCCCGCCTCAGATTCTCGGGCCTCTCCTCCCCTTCCCCCAGCCCAGGCAGTCTGTCGGTCGGTAGCAGATCAGTTCCTTCCTTCCTCCGCCGCCTCCACTCCTCTGCGTGTGTGCGGCGAGTGCACGCGCCTCTTGCGGGTCTGAGCCTGGGGAGAATGCGTGTGCACGCGGGCGGCGCGGATGTGTGTGTAAGCGTGTGAGCGCGTGGCTGACAAAGGCTCCAGGCTGCGGGGAGAAGAGGGCGGGGCGGGGCGGGTCCGTGGCGCCTGGGGACCCAGGATGCGGTTTGCAGCTGGCCCTGGCTAGAGGCCCAAAGACGCTTCCCCTTGCTTTATGGCGCCTGGTGCCTGGAATAGAGTGGAGGCCACTAGGCCTAGAGAGGGGCTGCCTCATCCTCTGTGAGCATCTCTGGGAACCAGACTTGGGGATGTGGTGAGGATCCATAGAACAACTGGGTTCTAGTCCCAGATTTGCCGCTCCTGTACTTGGTGTGTGACCTTGGGCTAGTATCAGCTTGTGTTTAGGTCTGTTTCTCCCGTTTGTGAGGTGGTTGATCTCTGGGCCTTTTGGGGATAGATGGGGGACTGGAATTTCAGTCTGCCGGCTCCCCTCCTTCAGTTCTTAGGGATCTGTGAGTAGAGACTTCCTCTAGATTGAGCTGCCCCTAGGTGGGAATGGTGCAGCTTTGAGAGAAAAAGACTCCATGGCTAGGCTGGCATGTAGTTCAGGAGGAGACTGGTGACTGTGTACCTGGCATGCTGTCCCAGAATCTGCCTAACTACGGCTTTGTAAAATCTGGAACTAACAAAAAAAAAAAAAAAGAAAAAGAAAAAGAAAGAAAAGATAGCTGGAGGAATTTTGGACAGACTCTAAAAACAACTTTGTGGTGATCGAGGGGAGAGCCTTGGCATAAACCAGACACCCACCTGGGTCCCCTTCTCCAGGCCTCAGTCTCCTCCTCTGTTGATTGGAGTTTTGTGTCAACTAGAAGGGAAGAACTCAGGTGGGAGAGCAGAGGCTTCCCCTCCCCCACTCTCATATTCAAAACCCTCGGCTCTCCATTCCTCTGCTGCGAGGAGTTGGAAGTGGGTACCAGTGGCATCAGTTTCTGGGGTGGGCTCTCCCCAAGGGGCTCTTACTTTGGTCTGGTGAGCAGACCAGCATGGCCCAAGTGCACCAGCCCCTGTCATGCATGTGCCTGCCTGGGACCTGGGAACTTAGGTGCCACCCTAAGGTGGGAAGAAGTCAGAGAACATTGTGACCTGTAGTCAATGCAAAATAGACTTCTGTGTACAGATGGGGAAACAGGCCCCTGTACAATCCTTGTCCAAGATGGCTCAGAGAGTGTACAACAAGGCTGGCGTTAGATCTACCAGTAAGCCCCGCCTAGGAAGAGGTTTCCCACCCTCTCTCAGTTGGGCAATGAATGGTGCTGCTTCTGGCACTGTAGCACTTTCCAACTTGTTGTTTTTTTTTCTGGCTCCAGCCCACCCCCTCCGATACTCTCAGGCAAGCTCACTCTGCCAGGGGCTGAGGGGATGAGGGTAGGATCAAGGAGGTCTGGTGTTTATCTGCCCCAATCCTGACTTCAGTCCCAGAACCAGAATATCAGAATGGAGGAGGAAGATAGGAAATTTCTGGTGAATTGGTAAAGGATGGGGGTGGGAGCAGTGGCTAAGAGAGGTGTGGGGCAGTAGGGAGGAAGGTCAGAAAACCCTGTGCAAATACCGCCTGGGTTATGCATCCCTCCCGGTTCAGGCCAGGGCTGCAGCTTGTGCACTGCCCCGCTCCCAACACAACATACACAGATTTCCTCTCCGGATAAGCCTAGCTTTCTCTCCCTCTCTTTATGGTAGGTTCCCCAACAGCTCCCTGCTGCCAAATTCAGTTTTTAGGAAGATTTACTGTCTCTATGGCAACTACGATGGCTTGATGGGTCAAACAGGAGAATGGTCATTCCAGGTCTGAGTCCACCTGTTGCTGGCTGGCCCAGCTGAGAGAGAGCAAGGGATGCTGACACTCTGCTGGTCAGTCACCTTTGATGTTCCTGCCTACTTGGCCCCTCAGGAACTCACTATCTGGCCCTGGCTTCCCTTCAAAGAATAAGAGGAGTTTCCACTCTTTTCCTTTAAATTCGTCCTGTGTATTTCTGTCTTCATGGTATAGATCGGCTCTGTCCAAAAAGAATATAATGCAAGCCCCCACGTATAATTTAAAATTTTCTAGTAGCCACGTAAAAGAGTGAAAAAAAATAAGTGAAATTAATTAATATGTTTTATTTAACTCAATATACCCAATGTTTTTTGACATGTAATCAGTATAAAAGCTATGAATGAAATATTTTGCCTTCTTTTTCATAATAAGTTTTGAAACCCAGTGTGTGTTTGACATTTATAGCACATGTTGATTTAGATGAGCTGCATTTAGGGTACTCAACAGCCACAGCGGCTAGGGCCACTGCAATTGACAGCACAGGTCTAAAGTCTTCGATGCCAGAGTTCAGAGTCCAAGCTCTTCAGCTACCAGCCCTGCGACCTTGGTGATGTCACTTGAGCCTTCTGGGTGATCATTTCCTCCTCTCTACCTCCGGGTGGTGTGGAATGAATGAGAATGTCTCTTAAGCATCTGGGACAGGGCCAGACTCCTAGGAGAGCTTCACAAATGTCGACTGTGCCTCAGCCATGACAACCTTCCCGTTTTCCTCTGTTTTGGACAGTTATCTTTCAGAATACCTTTGCGATTCCCTCCCTTCTCCACCAGGGTTAGTCTCCATCCTGGGAACTCCAGCAGGTTCTTCCTCTGTGCTAGCATTCCCAATGCGCCACCCAGAGATCCAGTTAATTATGGCCTCTCCTCCCTGCCGTGAGAACCCCCTGAGGGCAGTGGCCTTGGAAGCAAGTGAGGAGGGCCAGACTCCTGCTCTTGCTTTTCTTACCCAGCCTTGGCTGAAATTGAGGTAGCCCAGAAACCAACCACTTCTAAACCCTTTCCTCTGCCTCCTTGTTTGGATGGGGGAACTGATACCAGGAGAATGCAGGTACTTATCCAACATCATGCGGCAGGACAGAGCAGGACCAGAACCCTTTCCTCCCTTCCACTCCCAGTACAATGTTCTCTTGATGGAGGCAGAGACATGCCTCCTGCTTCTGGCCTAGAAACTCAGAGACTGCTGACCAGGGTAAGAGCCCTTTGGGCAGATGAATTTCAGCTCAATTTAAGGGAGGTGATTTGAGCTACCCTAGGGCATGTGGCTCTTGCTACCAGCCTAGTAGCCACCCACTCTCCATTCTGAATTCACTCATGGCCACCAGGTCAGGAGAAAGAGGGAGCCCTCAGGCGAGGGTCCTGGGTCTGCTCTTCCCAGCTCTGCTTCTTGGAGCCAGAGCTGCCTCTGCCCCATCTGTAAAATGGAAGCAGAGCTGATGGTATAGGTGGCAGCCTTCTGTTCCTGGAACCAGGCCCAGCAAGAGGGAGCTGGCGCCGGCCCTGTTGATGCTTGGAGAATGTCTATTTGAGAGCTGAGATCCTTCCCCAACTTCTCTGGGGTACCTGTCTCTTCCTGGGACCTTTGTTTTTTCCTTTGATCCAGCCCATGGCAGACTGGGCACTTGAAATTGGTTGGGGCGGGGGCTGGTGAGGAGAGGCAGAGTGCTGCCCTGGGGGAGTCTTTTTCTGCCAAGGAAGCTGAGACCGGTATCCATGACAACTGTTCACTAACAGAAGCCCAGAAAGATAGCTGAGGTTAGGGACCCAGCCAGGAACACAGGCCTGGCAGGAACTAGGGGCTTCCCTAAACACCTGAGCTGGGTGCCAGAGGGGACTGCCAGGCTGGGGCGCTTGGCTCTTTTTTGTCTACCTGGTTGAGTTTGTCCAGAGATGACAGATGGGGGAAATGGAGGCCCAGGGCCATTTACAGGGTTGTTTGGGTGGGTAGAGGCCAAGTCAAGCCCCAAGCTCTGTGGCTATCTTTGTGGATAAGGATAGTCAATATCACCTCCCCCATACTTCCTCAAGTAGTCTTTTTCTCAGTGGGTGGCCCCATCCTAGCCACAGCCACATCAGTACTACCTAAAGTCTGCAGGGTGGAGTATCCCAGGGCCACATTCCAGAGCGCCTCTCTGGCAGGTCAGTACCCAGGTCAACCACTGGCTGCCCTGGAATGTTGGCACCCTAATGACTAACTGCCAGCTGCCTATTTCCTTGATCCTTCTTCCTCCTTAGGCACCTTCTAGTTGGTTTTGCCAGCACCTCAGCTGTGCTGTTGACCTGTCAGAGGAAGTGCCTTGAAACTCACTACATTGAGTTTAAATGGCCCTGGGACCCAGGGCCATTTAACACTCCAGCCTGTGCCTTAGTTTCTCATTTTGTGAATGGGACAGGAAGGCTGCAGGGCTGTAGGTTATAGCTAGGTCAGAGGTGCTCAGAAAGGAAGAGCTCCATGTCCCTTCCTCAGATAGGAAGTAGCTTTTGTTTCTGCCTGGGTGTGGGGAGCTGAAATCCAGAGGATAGACAGGGGGTGAGAGTGAGGGAAGCAAAGAGGACATTGGCTTCATCCCCAGGCTCTTGGGGCCAGGCTCACTTTTGGGCCCTGAATGTCTTCTGGGCTGAGCTTCTTGCTCCTTGCTTTGCTAGACTTGCTGTGTGACCTGAGGTAGATCCTGGCCCTCTCTGAAC